CTATCTATCTATCTATCTATCTATCTATCTATCTATCTATCTATCTACCTATCTATCTATCATCATCTATCTCTACCATCTCTATCTCTAATCCATCATAACAACACATTGTTCTCTGTTTCCCCACCCAAAATCTCAATTGGTTGCTGGTTACATTAACTACAGACTGATAACCTCCCCGCCCCCCCAATATCTAATCTCATGACAAAACAAGCTCAGTGTTGAGGTAATTCCCCATTAGGAGAATGAGCGCATACAGGGAGATGTATTTGAGAGTAGTGTTGGAATGATACACACAGAGCACACAGATACACTGTATAGTAAATGTAGGTTTTTACTTCCAGAAAAATTTAAGCAAAGTCCAAAAATGAGCAGTCCAACCGTCATTCACAAGTAAATCAGTCAGTTTTCATCCAGGGATAATTCAAATATCAAATTTCAGTGTCAAAAACAGTTCAGTAACAGACTTACATTAAATCCAGTAATATCAGTTAATTAGAAGAAATGGAGCAACGGCAATACTTTCCAACAGAAGGAAACAGAGACAGAGATACACTCTCTTCTGAGATTAAGACTAAACAAACCAAGTTTCTGGCTCCATCTTATGGCCGTTTGAGAAACCACACCCAATTGCATGCTCTTGGATTCCCTTAAAGATATAGTACTAAAATGTTTATCCTGGTTTATATATTTCTAACCCAAATACCTGTTAGGTGACTTATATTCCTAATACTCAGCATGATTTTGTTATTCCTGCCGTGCCCCCCCACAATATTGTCTCCCTTTCCTCCCCAACCTCTTAATCAGCCCTCCTTTTTCTGATGTTAAAATCATATATTCTTCCTTATTCAACCTCCTAAAGATGCAAAAGCAACTATCCTGCCTGCATGCATTCCTGCTGATTCACAGATGGGCAGACAGACCTTCAAATCTCAGTGGGGGAAAGGTCAGAAAAGAGCCAAGAGGAGGAAGAACTTTATGCAAGATAAGTTGAAAAGTTTGAACAAACCCAGGTTGATGAGCAACAACAGCTTCCCATTTTGCAGCTCCAGAGTAATGTAATCTCCATGTTGCCCTTCGCCATGAAACAGGACCCCATCTCCCTGCATGCTCTTGAACTTCAGGGAAACCACGTCTTTGAAGGTGCTCATCAGCTTTTGATTGAATCTGTAGAGGAGGGAGCTCCTCCCATCAAAATCTGCAACATCAGATTCTGTGAGGAAAGAAAGCAAGCATTAAAATGGGGGGTTCACAGGCATGGATGCACACACACACATATATATATATACACATACAAACCCAACCACTAAAACACAAGGTTAATTATGGTTCTTTTCCTCTACTCAGTTTGCTTTCATAGGCTTTTAATGGAATGCCTTATTTTGACTTTGCCTGACTCCCAGAGTTTCCTTGGAGCAATGGGTGGCCATTAAGTGGAATTAATTAATAAATATCAGAAATCCATAATGCATCTTTGCAGATTCCTTTTAAAGAGTTACACAGAATCATGCCTTTATGTTTATTCTTTTAAGCAGAATAAAATAGTGCCTGTGCATCTTCATTATTTATTTAGATTTTTTATCTCACTTTCATTACTTCATAAGTAGCTCAAGGTGGAAAACATAGAATACTCCTTCCTATTTTCTCCATAACAACCTTGGAAGGTGAATTGGGCTGAGAGAAACTGACTGCCCCAATGTCACTCTGGTGGCTTACATGTAAGACTAGATTGGTCCTGACTAGGATCAGCTGGCTTACATGCAGGCGGGACTTGAAGTCTCTTGTCTCCTGGTTTCTAGCATGTTGCTTTAACCACTAGACCAAACTGCCTTTCCCTTTATATTATAATTCTCAAGAGAAAAAACAAAGAAGAATGGAGGCTTTTAGAATAGAACTAATTTTGTCAAAGTGACAATCTCTAAGGAAATACATTGCTGGGTATTCTTTCAAGTATTACTTTTCTGTTAAAGCAACTGAAATGAGTTTTGAGGGCTCAGAGCTGCCCTAGACTCCTGTGTTTCACATCATGGGCCACACCGTAAAACCAGCAGAAAGGAATGGGTGGAGTCCAACTGAAGTTAAATGGACTTTAATTGGCTTTTAGAAGAATTTAAAAGTAATTAAATAGAAATAACATTAATGCTCAGCTAAGTGGCAAGATGGAGGGATCTGAACACTAAACAAAGTCAGACCAGGTTAATACATACATATATATATAAAAATCCTGGGCTGAAGAATAGATTGGAAAATTTAAAAAAAACCACCTCAGAAAAAGGCAATGGTAAACCACTTATTTAATGTACAGCACACATCAGAGCTGAAGGCAAGAACAAACTACCTTTATATTACTGCCAGTAAAGCAGCATGGAAGCAGACATCAAAAATGGAGTTTGACTCGAGGGTGATTTTACCTTTAATATGATTACTCCCCATAAACGTAATAATTTCTCCCTTCTGTCACATGAAAAACGGCTACACCTACTGGGATCTCCATGGGAATTTCAAAGGCTTTCAATGTTATGAGTGACCCTTCAACATCGGGATATACATTTCTACTTTTTAAAAAAATGTAAATAGCCACACAGAAAGATGAATTAGCATGGAAAAGCCACATGGCATCCATTTGGGTTGCAGCCATCACATTAAAATAAACCTTTCCGTAGAGGTTTATGAACAACTCCATGCAATCCTTCTAAAGCACATTTGAACTAAAATTTCAGTGTTTCATTTTAAATCCAGCATTTAGCATCACTTGCTGGGTCCTTTCATAATATTGGTCTTGTGTTTTGTAACAATGATAGGAAGTATTATATATACAAAACTTCTTTTAAGGAAGGGAAATTTGAGAATCAGATTTTTTCTGGACTTCCTTCTTGGAAAAGCAGCACAGCAGATTGATTTTTTTTAAAAGAAAAAAATCTCAAATGTGGAGAAAGATTCTTCCTGCCTCTGTGACAAGCTGCTGGGGAGTTTTTGGGAAAGTAGCCTGAAGAAGTTTAGGAATCTTTGAGAATACTAATATATTGATTTTGTGTTTGAGGCACTGAAGTGATAACAAAACACAGTCTTCAGTAAAATATAATACACACACACACACACAAACACTTTATGCAGGTAAATATATATTTTTTTAATCAACAAGAACAAAATGCATATACCAACTAGACCAGGGGTAGTATTCAGCAGGTTCTGACCAGTTTTAGAGAACCGGTAGTGGAAATTTTGAGTAGTTCGGAGAACCAGCAAATGCCACCTCTGATTGGAGATTTTGCAGTATCCTTCTCCTGCCATGCCCACCAAGCCACACCCACAGAAGCAGTAATAAAAAAAAAAATTGAATCCCACCACTGAACTAGACATTTAGTGAAAGCCAGAAGTAGAACAGAACAGAACACTTTATTGGCCAAATGTGTTTAGACACACAAGGAACTGTCTCTGCCTTTGATTGTTGTGACATGCAATATTCTGTAGCAACATCCCAAGGGGAAGAGTTGAAACGGTTTATGTCCAAGATGTGAGGATCTGTAGATATTTTCTAAGCCTTCTCTCTGACCTGTGCAGTATATAGGTCTTCAATGGAAGGCAGGCAGTACAAATGAAAGACAAATAGGATATGAAAACAGGAATACTCTCTCCATCAATGTCTGTGATGATCCAGAGTGTAACACAAATGTAAAAAAATCCAAAATGTAAATAAATGTCCTTTAATGTCTCCAACTTGGCCCCATTGTTAAATAATTCTCAGTTGGAGATAAAACATACTCAAAAATAGTCTTCAAAAGAAAGCAATACAGTGCGAATTTAATGAGCAGATAGTGGTGAAAATAAAAAACAAACTACAATGATGAAATTTCCACAACGGAGCAGGAGAAGTATTTACCAAATTCAAGGAGATAACAAGGCACAGTCTGTTGGAAGGATGCCAACCAGGATAACCTCTAACCAAAATAAAACACACTTTATCTCCAGCATTTACCAGAATGCAGGTCCAAACTTTTATGCAGTTCTCACACCTGCAGCCCATGAAGAGGATCAAGGCCCTCTCCTCCTGACTAGACCACATCTCTCCCTTATCCTCTCCTCTCTGCATGCCCTAGGATGGATAGGGGATGGGCCTGGGTCCTCTCTGACTGCTCAGCAGGCCTCTGCCCCTCCCCAGCCTCCTTCACAACCTCCAGAGCCACACTTCCACTCCCTGTTGGCTGTTCCTCCTCTCCCTCAGAGTCAATTTCCACCAGGGGCAATGTCCTGGTGATTAGAATAAATGTATAACTTTGGCCTCTATGTAATTATCTAAATTCCTTCTTTGACACCAATCAACCTGGTAGTCAACATAAAGCTCACAATAAATAATGTTCTAATTTAATTCATATTAATAATTACTATTATTACTCTCATTCTTTGATCATTTTGACGGCCTTCTTCTAACACTTATTCCGTAGATTTTATGCATGGTGACAGTGCCAGTTTTTAAAAAAACTTCCTTCCCTATGGTTTCTTAGTATGAACTTTTGCTACTTCATACCAGCAGCTGTCCAGATCAATATTCTCATGATGATATCCATCACAGCACAATTGTCCATGGCTCAGACCCAATTATGTCCCCCTCAGTAATGATTCCAACCTGTTGCCCTCCAAATGGGTCAGTTCCTATCCTGGCTAGAGTTTGTGGGGTTGAAGTACAGAATGAGGAACATTGGGATTACTATAATCTAAATATAGTATGTAGCTGAACCTATGGAGTATATGGACAGCTGAACTAGAAATACAAGTGCTAGTAAAAGGCAAGAAGGCATTTGAGGATGCCAAAGGAAATCTCAAGGTACACATTCATTTTTCTTTCTAGATAGGGATTTAGGTTTTTGGATAGGGATTTAGGCTTCTCTTCAGAATAAACCCTCTTCTCTTCTGAACAAACTGTAATGACTAATGGCATTGGAACTTCAGGATGAAAATTGTATATACAATAATATTAAAGGAAATAAATGTTGGCTCTTGGACCGAACATTCCACGCCTATAACAATTATCTTCCCTTTACAAAATTAGGGTGGGGGAGAGAGCTCATAGCTTATGTTGAGAACTAAATATGATGCCACACTTTGCTTTTGTATATATGCAAAAGATTATGAGTTTTTAATTAAAATAATAGTTACAGATACAAATTCCAGATAAAAGCACATTAAAATAAATTAAATATATATAATCACAATTGGTGATGGGTACAAAATAAGATTTTTAAAAGATGTTTTTGAATACTTATTTTTAAAAGTTTCAAAATAAGATTTTTAATAACTTTTGACTTTTAATAAAACTATAATATTTTGTGTTAAAAAAACCCTCAAATCAATGAAATAAAATCCTCCAACTGTCACTATCAAAATAAATTGTATCCAACACAATCAACTTGTTACCCAATCCTACACTTTACTTTCTAGTTGACTTTCACTGCCCTATTCTGCCTTCCCCTTGATATTATTATTACATGCTTCACTTATTCTAAATATTTGGGAATCTTAGCATTATAAATGCAGTGCTAATCCATATTATTGCCTGAAGCAGAGTTTAAATGTCCTTTTCTGTTATCAAAGCCAACACTTTTAAAATCATACAGGACATTCAGATATTACTTCTTGCCTACATCTGCATTCATAGTGCACCCTAAGGGAGATTGTGTTACCCTTACATGTAACACAGTCCACTCTGATTCTGAAAAAGAAGGCTTGTTTTAGTTAGGGTGTGTGAATGTGAATGCAAGGGGGATGGTTTGTTAGTTTTCATGATAGTCTAGCTATGATATTAACCAGCAGCATCCTTGTGCTTATTATGTTATAATAAACCATCTGGCACTTTTCCCCAATCACGTTTCATTTTTACATCCTATTTCCCTTCACCCCATGTTTCATACTACCAGAAAAGCAAAGTGATTGATTGGTAGGTACCTAATGCCAAGTAAGAGGTCCAGACAAGGTGGAAATAATTCTGCTGATCCGGCATGGAATAATTTGTTCATTTTTGCATCCTACTCACAGATTTTAGTGGGAGTTGTCAATTCTATTTAGGCATCTCATTTAAGACCGGGAAAAAGTGTTTTAATGAACAGATTTAGGTTCATCTAAGGTTAATACCAGCACTTTATCACACTGGGTAACCTATTCAAAGGTAATAGACAATTGCAAATGACACCTATTTGCACAGAAAATTCTCATACAGAT